AAACCACGGTGAGGGATGGCAAGTAACAGAGCAAAAAAAGTAGCTTAGAGCAATCCCGAAAAGGAGAGCGGCAGAGCTTTAAGTCTCGGAGGAATTTGAAAGCCATAGAAATCCAGTTGCGGATATTAAGAGGCTTAATCTAAGAGCTTGCTGAGGCTGAGTTTTGCTGTTTGGGCCCCATCACTATCATCCTTGACAGAGGTTAGAGAGGAGACGAGAGGGAATAAGGAGGAAAAGGAAGAGAAGCCAGATGGGAGCAACGGGGAGAATAGGAAACTGCGTATCATTAAGGCAGCCTCACATGTTTCTTATAGGCGAATTAAATATTGCGCGTGTGCGTATCTCTCTGTGTGCAAGGGTACTCTTGCAGTAGTTTTCTTAAGTGACTGCGTTTTTCAATTCCTTTAGAAATCCAGCCAAATGAAGTATGTGGTACTGCTTCTTTCATTCATACTATAATTAGACTCAACTAAGCGATCCAGCTGTAGTGCACAACACAGGACGACATAAAGCAGCGCTGCCTGAGATGGAACTCATTATCATCAAGCTGCAGATGTCTCCCAGGAGAGGAGAGAAGAAGAGAGCACACTGGCAGACAGGTGGATAAGAGGAATCCCCTCTGCCTCTGTGGCATCCTTTTCTTCCTTATGGCATTCCTGTTTCCTGTGAATCATTCAGTCCACAAAACCCTCAACATCATTCCATATTTATTAAAGCAATGTCACACTTTGTAGATTCAGGTCTGGAAAACCAGAAGATCTGTGCAGCAATCAATGAAAAGCTCTTAACTGACCAAATGCATCTTTTTTCCTCACTGTGTAGAAACTGTACGCTTCTATGGGGCGTCACATAGCTTTGTTCTGTCCACAGAGAGATAATTGCTTTTGCAGTGAAATTATACATTATTGTGCATTTTGGAATTCAGCAGCACCTTCCAGGAAACAACTGTACACAGCCTATTAGATAATCTCACATGAAAAGATTCTCTTAGCCTAAAAGCACGTGTTTTTGTTGTTTTTTCCCTTCCTCTCTCTGTCTCTTGCTTTAATTTGTATTCTTTATATCACCTAAAGACACTGTTTAAATTCTCCGTCACACATTTGAGTAAACACAGCCCCGAGCCTGGGCTCATGAATGTACCGTGCATACTTATGTATCTCTGCCTCTTTCTGTGTTTAGGAGGCATCAATCGAGCTGGGGCAGCAGTGCCGACATTCTTACGGACCCCCACAGTGATCCAACCCCACTTGGACATGAAGCCCTTCCTGCAGTTCCCAGTGGAGACCCCCCCTCCTCCACACAGCATGAGCCTCTTCCACAACTTCAATACGGTGAGAGTGGATGCAGACAACGAGCACAAACACTGCAGCCTTTTAAGTCATCGACTGCAGCAAGAAAAACGCGCGACGCAAAATTGTAAATGTTGTACTGGGGGCTGGAGGTTACCGCCGTTATGCTTTAACTTGCACTCTTCTCTGCGTACAGTTTTGAATGCAATAGTCAGCTTTAAGATTTTTAGGTTGTGCTGCCACGTCTAGATTAACAATATGTTGAGACACACTGGACTGCATATTAAGGAACCAGGACTATTTTCAAAGCCGTAAAATCGTAGCCATATAATTAAAGAACAGTTTTAAGGCCATCCCTATAACTAACAACATCAAACGCCGCAGTTTGTTTGATGTAATAT